TATTATATATATATATATATATATATATATATATATATATATATATATATATATATATATATATATATATATATATATATATATATATATATATATATATATATATATATATATATATATATATATATATATATATATATATATATATATTATAATATATATATATATATATATATATATATATATATATAATATATATATATATATATATATATATATATATATATGTATTAATTTCTAAATATGTATTATATATATAAAAATAATAATATTTAATATTTATATAAAAAAAAGTATATTTTACATAAAAAAATTTCAAAAGAAAAAAAGAAATAAAAATCAGAAATAAAATATATTTACATTATTTTTCTAGTTTTTTTTTCTAAATAATAGTGTATATATATATATTTATGCATAAATGTCCATATAAACAAATAAATACCTAAAAAATGCAAAAATGGTGTAAAAATAATTTTTCAAGTTTTTAATATTATTAGCAAAAATAAATAAATCAGAATAAAAAAAGGAAAGTCAAAAAATCAAGCAAATAAATAAAATGGGCTCAGGGGGTATGAAAATGAAAATAGGGTGTGAAAAGAAAAAGACAAAGCAGGCCCAGCCCATGTGGCTTCTTCTTCAACCTTCAAACAAAAAGATATTCAAAAAAACGCGCGCCTGAGCCTCCATCCAAACACCTGGATTCTTTGATCTTTTGCACAAACTTCCAACATAAGAAATGTTAAGCATTGAATCACGATTCTAAATATATAAAGAACTCATCCTAACTCTCAGAAATGAGAGAGAATTTTGACAATCCCAAATCATGACCTAACTTTTCTTCCATATTCAGACCTTAAATTCTCATAGCTCAGGCAAAATAAATGAAAAGTAAAAGCATGTACAGATTCAGGGGCATGAGTAGAACACTTCTTATTCACAAACTTAGAGCTAATGATGCCTAGACTAAGAGTTAGAAGTTCAAGAAGATACCTGTTCAGTTGAAGTTCTATCTGGCAATGGGGGAGCTTTCAGGGCAAGATGATGATCTGTATAGCTTGCCTGAAGTGCGGTGATGCTATTCCAATGCTTACTTTGCTTTGAGATACCTTGAATCAAGCTATGGACTTTCAACTGCAAAACAAGAAAGTGAAAATGGTGGAACTGGTTAGAGGAGTTACAGGTCGTGTTTTGTGTTTTGGTTAGCTTCAAATGATGCTAGGGAATGTGTTTGATGAGCTTTGGGCAAGAAATCATGAAAGGAATGAGAGATGGGATTCAATCTGCAGACCCTGCCCCGTTTCTGCAGTTTGAGAGTGATTCTGGGAATGGGAGTGTTTGAGACCTTGTTTGCTCGTGTTCTAGCTTGAGTTTGATGATTAGAAGGTGTATAAAATATTTGTTTAAGTGTTCTAATGCTGAGATGAAAGTTATGTTGTGTTATGCTAAGTTTCTTAACACTTAAGCAAACAAAGGCCACTTGAGTTTCTAGGCAGGTAGAGGCCCCCTAAACATGCTGCTAACCTTGTCTTGATCAGTGTGTTTTGCTCATAATCTTGTGCCAAAGTGATTTGATCTGTACTTGTGGATTTGCAACTTTGACATAAAGCTTGCTTTTGCAAAAATGGCTATTTCACTTTTTCCATTTATGGCCTAATCCAACATGTAATGCTTAAACTCAAGAAACAAGGCCTTAGCATAATGAACATGCATTAAATTATTGAGTGTTGGATGGTTTAAGGGCCTGTAATCAAGTGGCATGCTGGTTTGAGAAATTTGCACAAGTTATGAACATGTACATGGTCATGAATCAAAGTGACTTTTTGCCATATTGAAAAATTCGATTCTCTCAAGTTATGAGGTTGTTTGATGAGTTATTGGACATTTTGGAAAGCTTGGAATGTGTACTACAATCCATCTTTGAAGTGCAAGTTGAAATTCCAAGTGGAAGTGTATGGAAAATGGTCTTGAAGTTAGGTAGAAAACCTTGCCAAAATAGGTCAAATTTTCACTAAGTTAAGAATGGTTTAGTACCCTTATTCCAAAAATTGTAACTTGAGATACAAGCCTCTTTTGGGAAAACTTTGTGAATCAAAGTTGTAGATTATGCAACAAGCTACAACTTTCATGTTTTGACTTTTGCTTGAATCCAAATGAATCTTGGTGAGAAGGTGGGGCAAAGTTGGGAAAAAATTAGGGTTTTTCATAACTTAGAAAAATTCTAAGTTATGAAAAATTCTCATTTCAAACCCTAATTTGCAATTTTTGATTTCTTGGTGAACAAGTTTCATGATTTGGCATGTTTTGATGAAAAATGAATCTTGACTCTTGATTTTGACCAAAAAGTCAAAGTTTGACTTTTCAGTATACAGTCAAAATTGATCAATTGACTGGGAAATTCAATTGTCAATCTTGTGTATTTGGGATCTTTTGAACTTGTTGAGCATGTCAAGATAATTCCATGGGGTCCTTGAGTCCATATGTGAGCTTGGTTTGCCATTGGCTAGGTCAAACAGTCAAAAATTGCCTTTGTGCAGTCAAAACCCTAAAAATGACCATTTTGCCCTTTTGGTGATCTGATGAAATTTCTTGTGGAATTGTGATCCAAACTTGATCAAATGGTCCATGTGAGTTTATAATATTGATGTGGGTCAATTTTCATGAGGTTTGACTGTCAATTGGCCACAATTGACTTTTTCCCCAATACAGTTGATTTTTAGGTCAACTGCCCAATTGACTGGGCAAAACTTGGAATCAAGGCTTGAAACTTGATATGGATAAACTTGGGAGTCCAATATGAAGCAAGAAAGTCATATTAGGCATTTTAGGTCAAAACATCTTTGTGCAAACACAAACCCTAATTTGGGTCAACAGTGCAAGGAGAAGTCTTGAGCAGATGAAACCCTAACTGGATCTTGATCTCCAAGGGCTTGTTGATGAGAAATGTTGAGAAAATGGGAGGGCAAATTTTGGGGTACAACAGTTATAACTGTTGTATTCCCTCACACATGAAAATTAACATTTTATATGTTAAAAACAAATTAATATAAAAGAAGACACAAACATTGAAAGAACTCTCAAAAAGCTTCCATTGACTTGAAAGGATGTCTAAGGGTCGTACTTTAACAACAATATCAAATTCATAATATAAATTTAAAAAAAATTAGTTATCCCTTTGAATTAAGTTTTCTCAACAAAATATTCAATCTACTACTTTTATGATCATAAACCATCGTCCGGAAAAACATTCATAAAAAAACATCAATGGATTTCATCACAGACAAATCAATAACATCAAGATTCAGAAAAATAAAATATCAGATAAAAACCATAAACGATGAAATCAATAAAATTGAAATATAAAACTCAAAAATCGAAATCTTCACATTATGATGTTCCAAATAAAGTCAATTATGATTGCACATTGAAAAACCAGATCTAGATATATATTAAACTGATAAAATCAAATTGAATAAGAGATTTAACCAAGTCTGTTCACATCTTTCCTTGATAGCTTTTTTATCTCAAAGTCCTCTTCAAGATTCTATTGTTGCACAAAATAATATCAAAAAATTCAGATTTAATTATTTTTGATAGTAAATCATCGATTACAAATATCAAAATAATTTGTAAATCGATGTCGCAGATTATATGTTGTTACTATTAATTTCAAAAAGAAATAGATGATGAAGGAAGAAGAAGATGATAAGAAGAAAGAAGTAGAAGTGGAAGAAGGAAGAGGTGAGTGAGAGAGAAAGAGAGAACATATAATTATGGAGAAAAAGAAGAGCATGAAGAAAGTGGAAGTTGATGCCAGAACTAATGTGTTGTGTTCCCAAAAAAAATGCAGCTTTGAAAATGAAAAAATTTTGGAAAAGGAAAAATATGTAACACAAAATAATATTTGTATTGTATTTGGATGATATAGCATCTTATATAGTCTTTTTGTTATATCAAGCCAAACAAGTAGTACACAAATTTGTAACTATTGGTTCATAATAACAAGTAGTTAAGAAAAATATTATTTAAACCACAATTATCCCTCAAATAATAAATTGTTAAGATTTAAACTAGGGATAGAAACAATTTAACGAGAAGTTAATATGTTCTTATATTATAGATTGAAAATAATTATTATATATTATAAAATATTTTATACGCATCACAATAAAAATTAAACTTTTACAAAAATTTATTATAATTTACTGAAAGTGTAAAACATCTTTACATAAATTATATTAACAACGATTCTAAAACAAAAGTTTATATAATTAATTGAAATTTATAAAATAAAAATAGTATGTAATTTTGATATTTGACTTTTATTTTAAACAGTTTTCATATTTAAACACCTTAAAGAAAAGAATTTTGAAGATAATGGTGAAGGTTCTTCAATCTTGAAAATTGTCGTTCATAATTTCTTTCCATAATAAGCTCTCACATAAATTCCGAAGCATCACAACCACCATGTCCATAAACCTAAACTCCCACGCCTTCGCTGGAAACCCACTAAGATCGAAAACACCCAACAAAAACGACCTGTTTTCACCCACAACCGCACTCGAAACCCTCAAATCCCGAATCACCGACAACACCGATCACCAATCCCCTAATTTCAAGGTACTTCCCTTCAGAAACGGAAAGCCACTCGCAACTTCAACTGATGCTGACTCGTGGAGACTCGGTTGGATCGGTCTCACAGAGCTCCGTGGATCATTGGGTCCTGAGCTGAGCGGTGACTCGTTTGTGTATCTGGGTTCGGATTCTGAACATGATGCGCTTTACTGGACGATTGACCTGTCTGCTGAGACTGGGTTTGTGCCTGAATTTGATGGCGTACGGTTCAGCTTTGTGGAGCTCAGAACGCTTATGGTTGCTACTGATTGGCTTGATTCCGTAACCATGGGAAATTTGTCTATTGCTGGTCATGTAAGTTCTTTTTTGTTGTTGTTGACTAATTGAATCTGTTTTAATATTTCTTGGATTTGGCCAGGCCAGAGCACTGTTGGAATGGCATAATATATCACGTTTTTGTGGACATTGTGGAGAGAAAACAGTCCCGATGGAAGCTGGGAGGCGGAAGCAGTGTTCAAATGAATCATGCAAAAAGAGGATATATCCACGACTTGACCCGGTTTGCTGTATTCTCTTCTTTGCTTTGATGATCAATTGAATGACTTTATTTTTTGCTCTAGACTCCAGTCAATTGATCTAATGCAGGTGGTTATTATGCTGGTAATTGATCAAGACAATGATCGTGCTCTTTTGAGCAAACAATCCAGATTTGTGCCCAGAATGTGGAGCTGCTTAGCAGGTTTTATAGAGGTGCATTCTTGCCCTTATTTAAGGTTTCTTTGAATTGAGATTAGATGTTAATTTATGCATGGATTTTTTGTTTGTTTTAGTTGTAATCTTTTATCACTATATTTTAAAAAAAATTCCAAGTTTATCTTCGGGTGTTGCATTTAGCCTGGAGAAAGCTTGGAGGAGGCTGTAAGAAGAGAAACATGGGAGGAGACTGGTATTCAAGTGGGAGAAGTTGTATATCACAGTTCTCAGCCATGGCCTGGTATAACAAATTTTAAAATACAATTTTATTTTAATTTATTATTTTCTCCATTGTTTGTATTAGATAAAATACAAAATTATGGTTCATAAATATTTGATAGAAAATCTTTAGAGGTTGTGTACAATTTGAAGATGTTTTAGATAAGCTCAAGTGATGCCTTCACTTATAAGTTGATGATTTTACTTTGCAGTCTCAATTGCTAATTCAATCTATATTAATCTTTGATTTTTTGCATCTTTTGTATGTTAATAATACTTTTGTTTCCATTGGCGGTTTCTAGTTGGACCAAACAGCATGCCATGCCAGCTGATGGTTGGATTCTTTGCATATGCTAAATCTCTTGAAATTAATGTGGACAAGCAGGAGTTGGAAGGTATGTTGCTCACCACTGTTTCATTGAAATACTTATTACCCACTCCCCGCCTATTAATGCATCCTTTTTTCCTTTATTTATATGCATGACTCATGTCGAGGGAGAATAACTTATTACTCCCTTAGTCTCGTTATAAGTGTTATTTTAAGCAATGCACGTTTCTTAATAAAATGGTTAGTTGTGTTGATTTGTAGACTAATACGTGATGACTAAAATTCTGATATTAATTGGAGTAATTGAAAGTATATTAGTAATGAAATAGTTTGGTGGCCACTTAATAATGTGAGGATGTTATTGGAAAAAGTAAATAAATGTTGTCATGGTAGTGATCAATCATTTGAGAATAAGGAATATTTTAAATGTCCTACTTAAAATGAGGCAGAGGGAGTAATTGTGAATGACACTTGCATACATCGCCAGTAGTTGCTTAGTCTCAGTGAGGATTATGCCCTACATGTGTGGACTTCGCGCACACACACACACTCCCATTTCTATGGTAATATTGTTTTTTTATGATCATTGACCGATAATATCTTTCAACTTGCTTATGTAGATGCTCAGTGGCACAGTAGAGAAGATGTAAGAAAAGCTCTGACATTTGCAGAGTACAAGAAAGCCCAAACAACTGCGGCAGCAAAGGTGGAACAAATGTGTAAAGGAGTAGAAAAGACTCACAGCTTGTCTACAGATTTTAATGTGGAAAGTGGCGAACTTACACCAATGTTTGTTCCTGGACCATTTGCAATAGCCCATCACCTTATCTCCTCATGGGCATTCCCAGATCAAAATTGCCATTCAAAACAACTGAGTAGTTCTGTTTCAAATTTGTAGGATTGATAGAATTGTTTTCAAGACAGCTTTGAGTATAAAATTTATCTTATTATGGTTATCTATCTCTAGAAGGTCTAGAGTGGCCAGGATGGTTATGAAATTTTAACTTCCTATTGTTGTAAAGATTAAGCACACCTAGAATTGGAACATCTACCATAGATGTTGCTCATAGCAGTCACTACAGACAAGGTCCAATATAGTTTATTTACAAGTATTGTATAGAATAAGGATGAACATTTACTGTCATTCGGTTGTTTTTATGTTGGTTTAGTTGAGAGAGATCAGGCTATCTAATTCGTAGAGCCTGTGTTAGTTACTAGCGGTTACTGTATTTCCCCCCCTGTTCTTGTAACTAGGGGTTAGGCCTTTCCTCGTTATTGTAACTAGGGTGGAAATAGGTTAGGCTAGGCCTGACTTTAGAAGGTTTCAGTCTGATCTTCGATAAATTCTTAAGGCTAGTGTCTCGTTTATAGTCTATTATAGACTTCTTTTTTTTGGCCTGATCTAGTTTTTTTATTAGTCTGGTATGATTTGAAAGTCTATTTAAAAATATTTTTTATTAAAATTTTCAATAATTTTTTTAAGGATTAAATGTATCATATCTCTTTGTCAATGTATCGAGTTTTGAGTTTTGATTTTACACCTTTTAATTTTTGTGATATTTCTCTTAACAAATCAAGATTCTTGTTTTTCATAGATCCAGGATGACTATTTCATCCAGAATTTTTTTACACAACTCTTAACGTGTCAAAAAATTCACGTAGATTATTTTAATTTTTAAATTTTAATTTAATTTATTTTTTTATAGAATATATATATAGTAATTAATTATTTTTGTTTTGTTTTTAAATTAAGAAATATTTTTAACGAAAATTTAATTTAATAATAAAATGGCGTCTTATGACCCAATTAATCACATTCTATTTTCAATTCATTTATTATTATTGTGTTACAAGTAATGTGGGCTCTTGAAATGTAGAACCTACCAACTCTTGAAATGTAGAACCTACCAGCAAGCCATCTGTAAGCTGCAGTTAGTAGTAGTTTCTACAATATTAAAAATAGTGTTTCATCATTCAATTTACAAATTTATAAATAAGGAATATCTCTTTTCATCCTAGAGTGAAAAAAAAAACTAGACAATTCTTAAAATGCTCTTAGAAATTGAAAATATATTTCTGATGTGTATTTTTTTCTGTTAAATCTTGTCTAAAAATTAAAAATACATTTACAAAGTAAATTAGAAATGTATTTTCGATTTTTATACAAATAGTACTAGAAAGATTTATGTTAGCCGTGTTTCACATTGAATACAAAGACGTATACCATAAAACATACTACAAAGATATGTAGAACAAAAACATATATAGATAGATATCAGTAAATAGTGTGTCTGTATATAGATAGATATCAATAAACAGTGTGTCCGTAGTTAATATAGGAAGTAACCCAAAATATTATCATAGTTTTCTCACTCAAAAATATTTAGATAATGAGTTGAGTATTATTCTCACTCGAAGCTGTAAACCAAGAGTTGAGTATTGTTCTTGGAGGAAGCTATTAAGCAACTCTAAGTATTGTTCTTGATCAAAAATTTTAAGCAAGATCAAGTATTTTGTTCTTAATCAATGGGCGTCTTGATTAAGGTGGTTTTAGTGTGATCTTCATTTAAATGAAAGGTCGTCGATATAGTAACTGGGACTGAGACTGTTAGACATTGCTGCAGTGATTGAAAGTGAGATGAGATTTCTCATATCTAGGGAGGACCTAGGTAGAAGTAGCATAAGGTAGTGATTAAGATGGAAAGTTGTAAATAGGGGATTGTTTAGGCTTTGAACACATACTATAATGGAATTCCTTCCTGACTTGGTAGCCCCCATATGTAGGTGATGTTGCACCGAACTGGGTAAACAATTTTGTGTGTTCTTTCTCTTTCTGCAAGTTATTTTTCTACTGTGTTATTATTTGTTGTTCTGTCAGCAGATGTCATAACACTTGTTGTGACATTGTGTGTTGTTAAGACATCAGTCTTGACTTTTGTTGTGTGCGTGTCAGACTTTCAATCGGCATCAGAGCAGGCACTCTATCTGTCATTGGGTGTGATTCAGGGAGATATATTCTCTGGTACTTCATGACCGTTGAAAGGGTATCCTAGAAGTCAAATGGTATGGGCTTATAAAGCAGATAGAAATCAAATGCCAAATATTATGGACAGATAATGAAAAGGTATCATAGACGTCAAATGGTATGGACTTACAAAAAAGACAAAAGTCAAATGATCAGTCGAGATTAGGGAATGGGACTCTACTAAGGATAAAAGTCACCACAGACTCTACTGGAGAAAGAAACTCAATATTGTTGGGGAATAAGTTCTTTTTATGGTAAAAGGTTTATGGAGAATTAACGGTAAGGTTACTGGGATAATGTTAACCTAGTGTTCCAAGAGATGAACATTAGTATGGTTATTGGAGTAGTATCAATTTGGTGGTTGGAAAGGTGAACGATTTCAGATAAGAGACATCGGCAGGGTTACTAGGAATGACAACTCTCTTTAGAAAATGAACAACCAATAGGGTTACTGACATCGGTAGGGTTACCGGAAAAAAGATATGACAATAAGGTTACTGGGTGATGACTAGGTTTTGGAAAATAAATGTTGGTGAGAAAATGTTGGGCTTCAGTATGGTTACTGGACCACGGATCAACCAGGTGATTGGAATGGAAAATGTTTTAGATTATAGACGTCGGTAGGGTTACCGGGAAGCAGTTATTTGGAAAAAAGACAATGGTAAGGTTACCAACATAAGTAGGGTTACCGGAAGGCTTCAATCAGGTGATTGGGCAAGAAAGGATATCAAGGTTGTTGACATCGGTATGGTTACCGAAAGACATCGACCAGGTGATCGAGAAAACAAGGATATCAAGGTTGCTAGCAGCGAAAGTCAAGTGATAGGAAAAGGTAAACATTTTTAGCTTATGAACCTCGGTAGGGTTATCGGGTAACTACAAGAACGATTTAGCAAACAATGAGGTTACCGGAAAGTGACTGGAGACTTGTGGAGATTGTATCTGGCTTATGCTTAGTATGCATGTTTTGAGTTTTTTAGCGTAATTCTCCATCTTTGTGGAAATGCTACGCGTTTTTGTGATGCAGTGTTATGTAACGATGATTACTATATGCAATGTGTTGAAACAAAGATATCTGTTGGGAACTCCTAGGATAGAGTCCCGACTTCTGCTAAGGAACGCCAATAATCTGGACTAAAATCTATGACGAGGAATGAAAGTCTTGAATTCTGCTGATGAACACCAATACACTTGACTTATATCTCTGATATCTACTGAAGATGATGATCCTGACTTCCTGACATTCGCTTCGAAACCACAAGTTGTTTATCTTGCGCATGGACTTAGCCTGATCAAACCTTGAAGAGGAGGAAATACCCCTTGCATATTTCTTTGCCCCAACCTGTAGGGCCTTCGAATTTTTTTCCTAGAGAGGAAATCTTGGGATCTCTGCCACCAGAAACAGCTTTCCCCAGTATTATGAACTTTGGATCACAACTACTAACTAAACAAAATTGGAGGTGTTTTCGACCATGTTTGAGTGACTTCCCTTGATTACTCGGCATTTTGAGAGATTCTTCTAATCTTGACATGACTGCCCCATATTGACTTATTTGACTGTGTACTCAACTGCTTCTATGCTCATTATGGTAATCAATATTTGAAATACTTTTGCCCATGTCCTCGGATATTTAGAGACAAGTCACTCGGGATGATTAAATTCTTCATATGATGCTCATCATGGAAGCTTCCTTGATGTCAAGCACTTTGTTTATATACAAAGAATGTTTACTATGAGAATGAAAATTCTAATGCAATATTTATGCAAGTCTTGAAGATTTTACTTGAAAATATGTCGCAAAACTCTGTGAACGAGTCACCAGTTAGTGCAACTTTTATTTTTGTATGAAAGATAACAAAAGTGATATGATACCAACTCAATTTTTTAGCAAAACTCATGGGAGTCAGAAACATTATCTTGTTGAAGTATAATTTTGAAATAAATCCTGTTTCAATTAGGACTTTTGAGGGTTATAACGTGGCCTGGTTTACGGTTTCATAAAAAAGATTTTAAAGCTCAAAGTTTATTGGCTCCACCCATTCTTTGTGATGTTCTTCAATTCTATATTCAGTCAATTCAACATGAGTATTCAATCTCTCAGGAATGACTTTGTGATGGTTAAGGAACCAATGAGGCTTTTGGAGTAGTAGTCATCCTTTTTGTCTTCTTGTTTGTAGTCACACGAATTTGTTCTTTGATGAGGACTTTTCTTTGTAGTCCCGTCTTTGTAATCCATTTTCTTTTTTTATTCTTTGAAATTTTATTTTCCCTAACTTATTCCTGGATTAATTCTTTGAATTGATAGTCCAGCGGGATGCCCTAATTTTTTTCCTAAGTCACTTGTCTTGAAGTTGTTGACTTAACGGGCCCCTTTTTTCTTTTGCTTTCTTTTCTTGACTTGAACAAATATTGACTTGTCTTGATCTGTTGAGAGTGCGACGTCTGCCTCGTTCCTTGGTGGATGAGGAATAACCATTATTGTTTCACGTCCTTTCGACCTCTTGATACGTGAAAGATAGCCATTATGGTATCCTCAGAGGTGCATTCCTTTGGAAATCTGAATACTCGGTCAAATCAACTGAAAACTATCCTGCCCTAGGTTTAATGTAAAAGTTTTTTTTTGTAAAAAGAAAAGAAAACTCCTACTTCAGGGATCAAAAGGGGTTAGCAAGGGATAATCTTCCTTATATCTCAGGTGTTTGGGGATTTGAAACAATTCTTGTACATCATCAACATGATTTTATTCAAAAGCATACGACTAGAAATTTTGCGTTTTCATATCATCATCTTCCCTCAAGAGTTATTTGTTTAACAAGAGTTTAGGTATAAAAAGTAAAGAAACAATGAAGAGTCGAACGAATGGATTGCTTCA